ATCTTGTATAACAGTTTTGTTCTCTTCTCGTTTAAATTTTGAAAGTTGGCAAAATTTGAGAAAACACTCTGTACTTTTTTAATATAAGACTGATTCATGATTCTTTTTTTTTTTGTAATCCTTGCTGAATTTCAGTTATAAGTCGCCGTTTGATTTTCCCTCACGCAAGATTAAAAATAAACCTAAGATTAAATAATCCATCTAAAAAAAGACCAATATACTGTTGAATGAAAGCCAGAGGATGGAGGAATAAATCCCTAATAAAGGAATTGAAAATTGTAGTGTCTCTTGCTCATCAAAGCTATGAAATAAAACTTAAAAATTTGATTGACAAGCTAAATATCACATGAGATTTTTCGTTTTGATTGATCTATAACTCTCTTCTAGTGCTGCAATTTGAGATAATACTTGGATTATTTTATCAATTCACTGTGATCAACCACCATTAAAAATATTAGCATCAGAAAACTTCTAGTTCATATAAGAAAAAGACATAAAAAATGTCAATGTGTCACGCGAGATTATAACGTGCATAATACTATACAATTAAGGTCAAAGATAATATATTATATATAAGTTCTATTCTTAGCTTAGATGCTATCAAAATTACTATCAACTGATTCTAAATTGTATCTTACTGGAGTCATTTTGTGTAGGTAAAGTGACATAATCAATATATAACATAATTCTCACCATTAGTTTTATGTTGTAGAGATTTATAGAACTTTGAGTCTCAATCGTATATCATTGCATGTAAACAATTTTTTTTCAACGATAATTTTAAATATTTTTAACAAATTTTGCAAACTTCTCACATTTTTGATACTATTCTATATGTATGCGAAAAAGCTGTATTGAGGCATTTTCATTGGTTTTGAACGATTCTCATATATCTCGACTATATTTATAGTTGTAGCCGGGAAAATTATTTATTTATTTTTACATCATATAGTACAATAAAATGCACTTCTTAGCATATTTTGAATCGTAAAATGTTTTCTTCGGTCGTTTTTTCTCAAAATAGTACAATAATTTTGCGATTCACTCATATAGACCTCAAAAATGTCTATGAGTATATGAATATCTATTCTCTCTTTGTTATTAGCTTTAATCATCAAAATAAAATAAAGCTTCAGGTGGTTTTAGTTTTATCAAAACATATTGAGCATACCTTCTGATTCTGATTACATCTGAATATTGATATGATAGTGGATAATTATAAATGGTGGATGTTATTTTGATAATATGCCAGTACTTGCCCCAAGTTACTTTTAGCTTCATATAATTCGACTTTGATCTTATTGTTATTGACAATAAGTGAATGTTAACAAGACCATAATTTGAGGTGAATCTTAAGCACTTGATTTCAATACTTCATGGACAGTTTATTCCGCTGGAAACTCTCATGAATACCTGCAGTATTCTCATGACATGCATTCAGATCACAATGATAAGATAGTATATAGCTTTCCTGAATATCCAATAATTCTTTTTTCTTTAAATAGAAAGTCAATGCTTCCGAGCATTCATATTGATTAAAATAGATAACAGTACTATTGTCATAGCAATATGCCATAGATTAATGTTTTTTATTTCAAAGCTGGGCAAGTTAGAGGCTTCTCAAGTCACAAGTCAAGCCATTTCTCGAAATTTTTTTCCTACAAGTTAAACCAAGTCCAATTAAAAATAGACAAAATATAACATTTGCTAGCATTTATTGGGTGAAGGTCAGTTTTCACAGTCTTCGAATTCTATTTCATGATAAAAAACAATGCTTATAAGAAACAGAGCCGGACAAGTCAAACTTGATGGACTTGACTTGCCCAACTCTGTCTCATTTGATGTTTGTTTGAAGAGTTTCATTGCTACGTTGTACTATTTCAGTGCTTCACTACTATTACTTTGAGTTGCATGGACAGACAATAATCCCTTCGATTATATATGCGCCCAGCAATAGTGATAGAATCTGATCGAATTTGGCAAAACTTTTCTGACTCAAGTTATTATCACTTTTGTCTTGAGTCACTAAATTAAGAGACAAATAAAAATTGAAAAGTGAAGATTTATTTGATGAAAGTTCTTCCGGAATGTGACGATACATCGATGAAGCAAGATTTAAATTAACCCATTTTGTCGCAATACTTCTCCAAAGGATCAGAGATTAACTTCTTTATTATCACTTCGATAGTGTTTCTTCATGCAGTAGAATAGTTTTTCTAAGTGCATTCTTCATCAGCATTTGATCATTATTGTTATCTAGACGACTGTTATTCAACGAAAGAACACAACTAATCATAAAATAACTAATCAAACTATCATTGATAATGATTCAAAATTACGGAACTTTTCAGAAATTCATATAATTTATTACGGTTGATATTATAGTTCGATCAATTAAAAGTCCCAGTTAAAATGTGATTTCTTTTATTTATTTTTATTTCATGATGATGTGTTCTCTTGCTTTTTATATACTATAAACTGATATGTATTGGTCATATATCTACCATTATAATCTTCTATCTATACTCTATATCGTACATTTGTATCTCTTTATATGTGTGCAAATTCGCAGTATAATTTCAAGTGTAGTGATTTTCACACACTATTGCAAACTTGATTTTCATTTGTTTATTAAACCTTGCTTAACAGATTTCTTAAAGTGTACGTATACATGACATTATGTACTAACTTATTTCGGGATAACTTTTTGTATGATGCTTTCTTCTTTTATGACATACAGAGCTCATCGGTTCATAGGTCCACGGAAAAACAAATTTATCCGTTTTACTTTTATGCTATGGAAACTGTTAATACATCTCTATTTGTTACACTTCGGTCCTTTTAGGATGTAGGTGAGGGTGTCAAAGGGTGCTATAGGGACTAAAAGGACTAAAGGGTACTAAAGAAACTGAAAAGACTCAAGCGACCTAAATGGATAATTTAGAGGATCTAAAAGTAAAACTGGATAAAATTTATTTCTTGTAGACTCCTCATTAAACAAGGTTTAATAAAAAAATGAAAATCAAGTTTGTAATAGTATGTGAAAATCACTACACTTGAAATTATACTGCGAATTTGCACACATATAAAGAGATAATGTAAGATATACAGGATAGATAGAGGATTATGATGGTAGATATAGGATCAATTCATATGAGTATATACTATATGAAAAGTAAGAGAACACATCATCATGAAATAAAAATGAATAAAAAAACTCACATTTTAGCTCGGACTTTTAATTGAGCAGAATATAGTTACAATACAGACTTAAAACATAAAAATAATTATAGAGGATGATGTTAGTTACTTTAGGTGCAGGGTATTAAAAGTTTTAAGAAATTTTTACATTTTTGCACTTATTTCGATGGAAGGTATGGCACTAATTATAAATAGTAGTTTTAAAGTTGTCAAAACATGCTTTTCAAAAAAAAACTCAGAATTGACGAGTATCCAATTTTTGAGAGAAAATCGGTAAATTTCGAAAATGGTGTCATATCTTGATTTCTTTATTATCTTTACCTCTTCAAACTAATTTTTTCGTATTTCTCGTGTAAAATTCTCTATAAAAAATTGTATTTGGCATTGTTCAAAGATGGCATGGTTAAAAATAAAATCGTCAGTCCCAAGAGTCATTGAAGAATGGCTACCTGTTATCTCGTAAACCAATCTAGCTTTCATTCGGTTCTTCACACTATGAGACACAAAAATATGAAGAGACTTTTTAAAAGTGTTGCACCATTTTCTTCAAACTGTGCGATAATCAGGCTAGTCTTTTTTGATAAAACTTCGAAGTTTCATACAATTTCTGTTTTGCAATAGTGAAACAGGTAAATAAAGCGTAGATTTCAATGGATATGCTAACGTAATATGCAAGGAGTTCTTGGAGGGTTTTTAGAGGGTATCTGGCGCATTTTTCATGGAAATTCTAGATTTTGAATGTCTTGTGTCATTTTCTTTAACAGCCGTTGTTTTTAGATAAACACTCTATGCACTGTTGTGATCATATTTTTCAATAATGCCGAAGATTCGATGACAGTTATCTCATTTAACCAAGCTGTTGAGTTCACGAAACTTAACAGAAATCTTCAAAAGCGAAGAATCATCAGCTGATGATGATATTAATTGCACCGATCAATTTGTGACAAATGATATTATTGATTTGTTTGAAATGTATAAAGAACATTTTAATGCAAGAAAATTAAGTGTATTGCTCTTTATGACATTGTGACATTTTAACATTTGTTGAATAGATGCAGAAAAATTCATAAAAACTGTTAGTGATACATGATGTATCTCAGCTCACAATGAGCCAAATTATTTTTAACAGGTGATTTCGAAGAACTTAATAAAGACTAGCGTGGTGAGAAACACGATGTTTCATTCTATGATCGTTATCCTGAAATCCAAGCTCAAATTAAAGCTTATGCTGCAACTGAATGTTCCAATAAATCTACTGAATTTACAGCAGATCGCTTGGCAAACTTTATTGACATTAAATTTTATGATTTAAATGCACCTATCAAGACAAACGCTGAACTAATTCGTTCGGTACGAATGTGCCATTTAGATTTGCGACGTTGGGATTGTAAATTTGAAGGCAATGAGCAAAGGCTTTATTCTGAAGGCCATGAAAGAAGCGATATGGTAGCATGTAGAAAACAATTTGTTCAATATTTTTTAAAGAAGAAAGATTAATATTATTGATGAGCAATGATAATGATCCGAAATGGATAATACCTACTTGTCCAACTTCAGGAATATTAATCTGTAAGTGCTGCAAATTAATAGCGCATGAGTTTCTGCTTTTTTGTATTTTTTTAGGCCATGATAAATCATTATTCAGATTAGGTTAAGTATCAGCGAAGCACTGAATTTTAGACCGTTCAGCACCGTTATTTTCTAAAGATCATGGTCGGTTCCATATATTATTAGATTTATTAGTGCAACACTCATCAAATCTTTTCTGGAGCTTCAATAACCAGCAATGCGGAAAAGCCATGGAAAAACACTGTGATTTATTAATTGAAGGCGATATGAATTATCTTGATCGTTCTGTCATGGCAACAAGCAATATTGGTATTGACCAATATTTCAATAACGACACTGGTTTATTACAATTCGAACCACTATTTAAATTATTAGAATCCAAAACAGAATATCAAAATCACCAAATCGCAGCATTGGTGGGCAATGCACGTACTCATACAGCCAAATAATACAGTATTCATGATTTTAAGAAGGGAGTGGACACAAGGTGTTCAGTTGAGTAGATTGAAAACATTGATGAAAAAGCAATAAGTCGTTAATGGATCGTTATTTCAAATGAGACCGAAACAATGGGATGAGCAAGAGCTTGTTACTGTTAAGGATTTATTCTTCCTTAATATATATTAGTATGTTCTTGTTTGTTTCTTTCTCTTTCTGTTGTGTGTATTTAGTTATTTCTTTCATCCTTCTCAATGATTGAAAATTGTTTGTTCTTTCGTTTTCTTCCATTTAACTACTCTACATTCGTTTCTATTCTCTCAGAGTCATACAAACCTTGACATCAAATTTGATCATTTCTGTTCTTGTTACGTAATAACATTTCTATTACGTAGTAATATTTCTATTGTGGATTTTACAATACGTGATATGTTGCTATTGCTATAAGTACATATATATTTTCTCCTGTTAGTTTTGTTGTGCGGCATTTGTTATTTGATTAATGTTGTCATTCCTTATTCTCGTTTCTTTGATCATACAAATAAATCTTGAACTTACGTTCAACAACAACAAAACTCACAGTTAGAAATAGCCAAAGAATTAAGTATATCGATGTCAAAAAGAATGCAAATTAGATCAACTACATGATTGGCTATCAAAACATTGTGCATTTCAAAATGTGAGCTTCCTTCTTTATCTTTTACAGGTCACTTTATTTTAATGTTTTCAGACAACCAAACTTCAACAGTTAGCAAATATATATGATATCAACATCATATTTAGTCCAAAGTACCATTGCACATGTGATTCCATTGAATGATTGTGGTACCATTAGAAAGCATTCGTAAGAAAGCGTACCAATCAAACATTTGCTTGAATGATAACATTAATTGATGAATCACGTATAAATTTCATGAACATAAACTTATGTTTCAAACTTTTTCGCTGATTCTGGTGGATGTTGCATGCATATGACAAAAGAAACACTAATGAACAAGTTCCGAAACATTTTTTTCAGTAATTTATCCAAAGGACATGTTGCATCACATCGAGAATGACAAACACAAATTAAAACTACTGAGCATCAGTCAAACCAAGTATGCTTCTCATTTGTTATTTTGATAAGTGATACGATTATTAAGAAGTCTATTAGCTTTGACAAAGAGATTCTTTGTCTCAAATATATTTTTCATAAATAAAAATCCACTTTTAGTAGGGATCACAACAAAAGTTACTTTAAACTGTTTATAAAATTAGAAATATATGAGCGGCTATATTCGATGAGCTTTTCATATGACGAAAAATATTATCCGTAGATTTTATTGTCAAAACATCATAAATGATATTGAAAAACTTTGAGGAATCCTCTTAGAAAATCCGGTTTTTCGAAAAAGTATCAGGGCTGTATTTCTACTATTGGAAGACGCAGAGATGTTTCTTCTCTCAGAAAAAGACCAAATTTTGTGGCTCTTTTTCAAATTTTTCGTTTTCGGAATAGTGTTTTTTTATTTGTATCAGTATGTAATATACATTGTTATTTTATTTAAGTACGGCAGATGGCGCTAGCTAATGTCACACGTTACGTGCTTTTGAAAATTTCACTTAAACACACATATGAATATGCGTTTGAGTGTTTTTTTCTGCATTTCAATGAAAACATCCATGTCAAAATGTATTTGCTATTTTTCTCAAAAGAGTATTTCAATAAGAAAAATTGAAATTTCTCTCACTCGCTTCAAGATGAAATCCCAATTGTTTTTTTATTGTATAGGTCTAAATGAGAGTAAACTTTTGTTCGATAATATTTTTTAAAGCTGATTTATGCGTTGCGATGAGATTTAGTGTTTGGAAGTTATATTTTTTTCTAGTTATTTTAAAACTATATGTACTAAAATGATCATAAAAAATGACTGTAAGCGAATTTCAAATTTATGTTAAAAAAAATTGCGCAAAGGTATTTGCTTTTATTTGACATTGTTGCAAACTCTGTATCTTTTGTAGTCAACAAATTATAGGAACTCGCTCGAACATCGTCAATGGATTAGAGAAAAAAGTCGAAAGTTGAGTCTAGTGTGATGAGTGAGACCGAATCTTTTACCCAAAATATCCCATGTGGTCAACTTTCCGTCAAAACCGACGGTTAACCGTAGTTCATGAAAAAACTGATAGTTCGAACGGCTTACTACTTTTTCATCAAGTCAAGTATAGCTTTTCTATTAAATTAATATTTTCTATCTTGATGAGGTCCATTTCTTCTCAAAAAAATCATTTTTTTTAAGTGTCTTCTGCAAAGAAAACAATCATACTGGAAAACTATACAAAAACAGTCGCTGTAGCTGATAGAGGAGTAACAACGTAACCAGAAAATGAGCATGGTGAGACTTAGTCCTCATTTTTTTTCGGTCAAATGTTTGAGTTCATAAAAAATTTTCGTTTTTTGTAAAGTTGCATTGCTTTTGGGCAAGGTCGTTAAAGACAGCTGATTCACATTATCTGAGGGATTTGCTTAACAATTTTGGTCTTTAAGAGATAGCCAAGTAAAGCTCTTTTAGTATTGAAAAAAATGATGTACAGAATTATTCTCTGCTAGATTTCGTTTTCTTCGAAGGAAATAAGAAGATTGAAATCTGTTTTACACTATCATTTTCATCTGAGAATTGCTTTAGACGTGACAAAAAGCTTTTGCAGCTATGCGGAATTCTTTGATAGTAAGAGAGATAGAACTATTCTTTTCCTATACTTTTCGACTAATATTTTATACTATAGAAATAGCACTGATTGACTTCAGATTTCCAGGGGCGGCGCGACCGGGGGGGGGGGGGATGGGTGGGTCACCCCCCCCCCCCCCCCCCCCCCCCCACATTTCTACAAACACAACACTAAAAACTAACCAAACAAAATTATGTTCTTTTAATGTCT